GTATGAAATTACAAAAAAAAATGCGCATTGCGTAAATCACCGACACTTAGAGATGAATTTAACTTTACAAAGATTAACTCACTCACACACACACATATGGGTATGTGTGTGAATTGGATTTCCACGGATCCACAATGATTGTAGTTTCATTATTAAGGGCTACCCCATTGCCATAAATAAATCAGCTATACATCCTATAAGATCACCATGAAAATCTTGGCCCAATATATATAACAATCCCAATTAAATAATAATAATAATAATAATAATAATAATAAGGGAAAAAAATTATTTGTAATCCCAATATTATCAAAATTTATCAATTTTGGTGACAATATAAAAATCTTATCAATTTTGGTCTAAATATAACCAAAACTCATCATTTTTTGTCCCAATATAAATTTTTTATCAATTTTAGTTCCAATATAATCAAATTATCTTTTTTGGTCCCACCGTCAACAAACCGATAGAAAATGCTGACGTGAAAAGAAATCAAACCTTATATTTATATTTGAAGAAATTGCACAATCTTGCAAGTTCACGTCAGCATTTTCCGTCGGTTTGTTAACGGTGGGACCAAAAAAGATAAGGTTTGATTATATTGGGATAAAAAATGATGAGTTTTGGTTATATAGAGACCTAAAATGATGAGTTTTTGTTATATTGGGACCAAAATTGATAAATTGTACATTGAGATCAAAATTGATGAATTTTGATTATATTGAGACAAAAAATGATTTTTTCTCTAATAATAATTAATTAATTAATTAAATGAAATGTGTTTGTTCAAATTTAAACGTACCCCATTTGATGCTTATGGTACAAACAAAATTCAACCAATTAACACATTGCTTGCATGCATGCAAAATAAAACGTACGTAAACTCATAACCTGAATTAACATAATAATGATTGAATTTAAAATCACTTAACGAGATCATTAAAACCATGGAATCAAATACGTACTTTTTATTTTATATATTATATAAAATTATTTAATTTTCTATTCAAAATATCAAATCAATATCTATTTATATCATATCTAATACTATTTTAATTCTTTTTTATTTTCTAAACCCCAAAAAAAGTCGAACCTCTAAGAAACGTACCTTATAGTGTGTTTGTTTGGGAGGTTTTGGATCGGAATAGGTTTAGATTTTTTTATTGAAATAATTATTTGATATAATATAATAAATATTACTTGATGTTTTGAATATAAATTAAAAAAGAGAAAAAATTATTTTTGATCCCAATATAAAAATCTTGTCAATTTTCGTGCCAATATAACAAAAATTCATCATTTTTGTCTCAACATAACCAAAACTTATTTTTTTTGTCCCAATATAAATTTTTTATCAATTTTAGTCTCAATATAAATTTTTTATCAATTTTAGTTCCAATATAACCAAAACTCATCATTTTTTGTCCAAATATAATCAAACCTTCTGGTCCCACCGTCAACAAACCGACGAAAAATGCTGACGTGAAAAGAAATCAAATCTTATATTTATATTTGAAGAAATTGCGCAATCTTACAAGTCTATGTCCGCATTTTCCGTCGGTTTGTCGACGGTGAGACCAAAAAAGATAATGTATGATTATATTTGGACAAAAAATGATGAGTTTTGGTTATATTGAGACTAAAATTGATAAAAAATTTATATTGAGACCAAAAATGATAAGTTTTGATTATATTTGAACAAAAAATGATGAGTTTCGGCTATATTGAGACCAAAATTGATAAGATTTTTATATTGTGACCAAAATTGATGAATTTTGGTTATATTGGAATCAAAAAATAATTTTTTCCCATTAAAAAATAAATAGTAAAAATTTTATGTGCTATTTATAGGAGAAAAATATTAATTAGTGAATAAAGATCGAACTGAAAACTCACAATAAAAAGAGCAACGGCGAAAGCTTCTAGAAGATAAGTAAACTTAATTGGATTGGAGTGGACCTATATATATATATTGCATTCAATCGAAACCCTAATAGGTTCGGTTGGGACCATAAAATTGATTTAATATCTTAATTATTTCATGGACCAATTACAGCTTCATTCTTTTTCTTTTTTTTCTTTTTTTATTTTTTTTAAATTTTTTATTTTTTTAATTTTTTTTTTCATACAGGTGAATTCGATAGCCCTTCAATGAATTTAATTCCGATTTCGATTTCAATTTCAATTTCTCCAATAACCCACTTGCCATTCTCATAAATATATCGATCGTCTATCCAACTCTGACGATATCGTTCAATCGATTCAAAAGTTTCGCTTGCGCGCCGTGTTGAATTTAATTAATTTATTCGTCGATAATTATACATACTTGTCAATAATTGTAAGTAATTTGGTTGTACTAATTAAGCTAGATATATATGGCTAATGTTTACAATTTTTGGATATTTTTATTTTAATTTGATAATTAATAATTACAATAATTGATGAAGTAAGTTAAATAAATAATTGATTAATTTGGTAAATTAATTAGGCATATCATTAGTGGTCCTAATAAAATTGAAAGAAATTCAAAATGGTCCATATGCAAAAATAAATAAATAATATTGTGTGATGAAATATGTATGGGGCGTGTGCAAAAACATGGAATTTTGAGAGAATTCATGTGAAATTCCTCATGGGAAATGGTCCATTTCGGTTTTATTGCATTTAGAAAAGTCAATACTGCATGCATTGCGATTTTTAATTTTTATTTCCATGCATTTTATGGAAAATATTAATTAATTAACATTATTTGTGACAATTTTGTGTGTATTAATTATATTTTTTTATTTTTTTTTGAGTATTGGACTGACGTTTATTTATATAAAAATGAGATAGATAAAAGATAAAGTTACGAAAATATTAGAAAAAAAAAAAAAACTTATTAAAGAATTAATAAAAAAGTAGGGTGTGTTTGTTTTGTGAGATGAATTAATAAAAAATAGTATTATTCATGTTTGAGAGTATCTCCAATCCAGCGCCATAGGTTATTTGGCGTCGGTTTTTTGCGTCATTTTTTTGGCGTTGCTCTATATTTTTTTATATATTTTTTTAATTTTTAAAATTTATTTTTTATTTTTTAAAATTTTTTTAAAAAAATTATTTTAAATTATAAAAATAAAAAGTTGTTTAAAATAATATAAAAAATTGAATATTTGAAAAATAATAGTGAAAATTGGAGTTATGGTTGGAGTAAAATTACTGTATCAATTACATATTTAGAGTTAAAACTGGATAAATGGAGTTGACGGGTTGGAGATGGTCTGATACGCAGAATTGTGTCAAAAATATAAAATATATAAGTATTATTTTAGGTTGAATATTTGACTTCTTGTAATAATTTCGTAACTTTTTATAACGAGTATGTGAAGTTTTTTTGTTTTTTTTATTTATTTATTTTTTTTACATCTTTACTTTTATATAAAATGTTTTGTATTTTTTATAATTATTTTAGGAATCGCAATTGAAATATGATGTTGAAAGAAAAGAGCGAAAGTATCTTACTATATTCAGATGAGTTCCCATTCACCACATCCGAAAATACACAAACAACACATTTGTCTATTTAATACAATACATGTTTTGTTAAAGATAAGTACATAATTGTATTGTATGAATGTACTTAATATAATGACTAAAATGTGGCGGACAAAACCTAAAAACGTCGGATGTTTGAATTCATAATTTTACGGTCATAAATTCATCCCACATCAACTGCATTTTTTATTTTTTTTATATAGTGTGTTGTCTTTGTTCATACATTGTACTGTCAACACATATATTATGTATATTGTTAGTTCATATATTGCACTATATAGCGTTAATATAGAACAAATAGCACATAATTAAGTTCAACATAATTTTCAATTGAATTTTGCACATTATATACATTTATACAGCACAAATATATATTTTTATACAATACTTTTGTGTTATTTATATTTATATTGTGTATTTTTCATCTTTTTACAGTGTATGATTAGTATTATGCTGAATTTTTTTAACTCAACATTCTAATAATCGCATCTACCATAAATGTATTAGATATAAATTTAAAAGATAATAATCTTTTTTTACATAATTATAACCGACGGACAAATAGAATAGTTTTATTTTTTAATTTTTCCATCAAACATTGTATGAAAAAAAAAATAAAAAATAAAAAATAAAAACAAAATTGCAAAATAGCACTTGATAACAAAGCAACAAATCACTATGAAATACTCCCTCCGTCTCACATACCATGTCCACGTTGTCGTTTTTGTCCGTCTCACATACCATATCACTTTCCTTTTTTGAAAAATGATTACACACTTTAATCTCATTTTAAACTTTTTAATTTATTTATTTTCTAAATTTTAATTAAATTAATTAGTTATTTTAATTTTAATTTATAATTATTTATATGATCAGTAATTATTTTCATTAATACATTCTTAATTATCTACTAATTACACCCTATTAAAATACTGTATCTACAGTGTAGCAGACACGGTATATGGGACGGAGGGAATATGTGCGATTATTTTATTTTCCTTCAATATTTAATTTATTATTAATTAAAAACATATATATATATATATATATATATTCAACCATTATTTACATTAATTTTTTAGAAAATAGGTTAACTAATAATTCATAAATGTGTTTATTTAGTATTTTAGTTTGAGACCTTTTTTTTTTATGTAAATGTGAAAAATAATTTAAAATTAATACTGATCTTAAATATTAATTTGGTGAAGAAATAGAATATATATATATATATTATATATTGAAAATTTTAAAAGTAAAAAATTATTTGTGAACAAAATTCTTGTTTTCAAATCATTATTATTGGACTGTGATCATTCAAATAATTTAGTACAGTGTTAGATAGCGCAATGACAAACTATATATTTTTATTTAACTGGCATATGCCATGATAAATAAAAACTTATTTTAATTTTTTATTTATTAAAACAAAATTGACTTTACAAAAAATAAATAAAAATCACCAAAACGACCAATCAGTACATTACTATTATTAACATTATTATTATTATTACAAACCCATCATTGCCTTTTTTTGGGTCGTTATATAGGACGAAACTCATTCGAGCCCATTATAAGCACACCATTTATTTTTTCCAACAATAATCATATGTTACCATCAAATATATAAATCTAACAAAAAAAAAAAAAAAAAAAAGAACTAATATACAACGTCAAAATTGATTAATCTACACCGCTCGGCCGGTCCGGTCCGGTCCGGTCCAGTCCGGTCCGAATGCCATCCACCGTACCGTACAAGGTCGCCGGATTTCCTCGCCGCCTCGCCGGCGGCCTCGTCATTCTTGCAGGAAATTAAACGCCGGATTGGCGACAAGTTCGCGCGCCGGGATCACCTCTAAAAACTCCTTATACCGAAGCGAACCGCAGAGTTGATCGATCGAGAAAGGAATGCTACAACGATCGAATATATACATATATTATTACAAAGGTTCCTTTTTCGAGCTATTCGAACATACAAAACGTTAGCGTACCTCGAATTGTCGTCTAACAGAAACGAGTTGCTGCTCGCATTGTTCAAGTCCTCGGTCATAAGCACTCTCATGCTCGACATAACCTTTCCAAGGATCGAAAAAACAACGTTAAAATTACGTAATAAGAAGACGAACTGAAGAAAAAATTTCGACAAACTTACTTCCGGCGATACGCTCCGGGTGTTGTAGTTGTCGTCCCAATACAAAGTGCAGATTCTGTAGAGCTGCTGGACGCTAAGTATCTGCGACGAAACCCAAAAAAAAAAAAAAAATCGTAGTCGCAACATACATACGTGAATCTTTGTAAGAAAACGAGAAAGATCGAGAAACCACGCTTACGGGACATAAATCGTGGGCTATCTCGTCGTAGGATATTCTGTACTTCTGATGTATAACCTGCCGGGGGAGAAGATCGAGTGACGCGTTTTCTAGAACGATAATTCGGAAACGGAGTCGAAAGAGATGAAACTCACCAAGAATCCGACAGCTTGTTTGATGTGTATCAGTTCGTCGCACGCCGAGCCTGTGTACTGAGATCGACGACGTTTCGTCAGCGAGTGTAAAACAACCTAAGTTTTTAAATCGAATCGTCGGTGATCAAACGACGTATTTACCTCTTCTTTCTCTTGGCTGCACCACAATTCCAGCTCGGCAAGACCCGCTTTGATGTACTCCCCGTTGCTGAAAGTGCAGCACTCCCGACGGAGAAGAAGACTGTAGAACCGTGTAGTAAGTCAAAGAGTAATTTTTATGACAACGGCAAGAATTTTTTACGGATATCAAACGATCGAGAGAGAGAACCGTGATCACCTGTTGAATAGCTGCACATTGACGAACGAGAACACTTGATCGTAAATCTTCCGAACGAGAAGCGACGGGACCTGGAAAGAATCGAATTTGTCAAAATCATGAACAGTATAAAAAGGCTTATAAAATCGACGTCGAATGCGATAGCTTCTTACGGAGTTCTCCTTGAGTGTACGGAGATACGAGTCGAGACAGTCGATGATACTCAGCCAGTGGTTCGTCGGAGAATCCTTACCGGCAGCTCGTACGGTTCTCGCCACACTCGCTTTGGAGATTCGCGGCGCCTGAATTTCACAGCAACGGAGTTCAATCGATACATAAATCTAATTTCTCGGCTGTATTTAGTATACGATTACGGCAAACCTGTATGCACAGCGCAAGCAACGATCCGAGCTCCTTCTTCAAGTTGTCTCGAATAATTCCGTAAATTTTCTCAACGATTGCGGTGAGCTGTTGCTTAAAAAGAAGAGCCGGGTACTTAGCTTCGACTTGTTGTACGGATTCGAGCGCAGCGTCGGCGGCAGCAGCATATTTCCCGGAAGACGACCGGAAACTCTGTAAGAAAATCTCGAGTCGCATTATTATCGTTACCGCATCGCTAAATTAATTAAACGAAGAAAAACCCGCAAAAGATCGACGCAATACCATCGTCATTCTCCCGAATAAAGAGGTCGGCGTCGGAGGCTTACGACTCGGGGTTGTGTTGGCGCCGACGGGTTTCATAGTTTTTTGAATCAAGAACAATAATGTGGCGGTGTTCGACAGCCAATACGCCATATGGTCGTTGCTTTCTTGATCCTGCATTCGGTTATCGCGAGTTGTAATAATCGATTCGAGCTTTCAGACAAAAGCTTCGTCTTGAAAACTTACCTCAATGACTGAACCAAACATCTGAATTAGACGATCGAACACACTCGTTCGCTCGTCTTCGAAGGATTTCCAGTGCAAAAGACATTTATATATCGTGCAAGCTGCGACGGGCTTGCCTTGACTGAATCCCACGTCGTTCTTTGCGCATTCCAACAGTGCGTCGACATCCTCCTACAAAATCGATGAAAGATTATTACATATCGCGAAAAAAACGAAATAACAATCGAAATCTCAATTCTACAAGCACATACAAGCTGCCGTTCAAGAGAAGGTTTTGTCGATTTGCTATCAGGCGTATCGTACGAAACTTTCTCGGGAGTACGTTGTAGATCCTGCAGAAATCAATCGAAATTTCAGATCGGAATTGTTGCGATCGAAAAAAGTAGTAGTACAAAGATACAGTTTTTACTCACTCCATTCGCAAATTGCTCATTTTCCGATCTCTGCATCAAATACTCGTTCAAGTCATCTTTTAGATTAAAAGACAATAAAAAGAGACCAATAAAAAATTCGACGAAAGTAACCAAACCTTAGACGCCACAATCGACGAAGAATTCTCTGATGCTACATTAGCATTACTAGAAAAGGTTTCTTGCCGGAGAATTTGGCTCTCGAACTCCATGTCAGCAATCTTCTCTTCCAGCCTAAATAGGTCGAAAGTTAAGCAATGAAAATCGAGCAAATTGCGAACAAAGGAAAAAAAAACTAACTTATGCACGGTAGTTTTCAATTTGACGATCATCGACTCCGCCTCCATCGCCTGCTTAAGCCTCTCCTCGCTGAGCTTGTTTGCCGCTTCATATTTCTTCTCAGCTTCGTCGATTTTGTGTTCGAGAGAACTAACCAACTCTTTAAGTTTTTCATTTTCGAAAGTGAGCTTATCCACCATTTCCGTGTCGACAACAGGAATCTCCTTTATCACAGGAACTTCCTGGACTTGCTCCACGGCCAATTTTGCAGCAAGTTTTTCCTTTTCTAGCTCGTCTTTCGTTTCTTTCAACTCAAGCTGAAGCTGCTCTAATGAATTCTGCAATTTCGTAGTCTCGTGTGTTTTCGATTCCTATAAGCGAACGATTACATTAGAATCGAAAAGAAAAATTAGAGAAATCGAACGTGAAGATTCGAAAATACCCTCATTCGTTTCTCCAGCTGCAGTCGCAAAGTCAATTCCTCGACTTGCTTCTCTAGTTTGTTCTTCGCAGCTTGCAGAGCACCGGTCTCTCTTGCCGCCTGTAAATGCGAAAAAAAAAAATACATATAATGTATATATATATATATACGTAGAAGAAATTAGAAAATAGTATCGGGACAATGACCATTTTCAACTTCCGGAGTTCTTTACGCGCAACTCGTCCTTTCCACGCACATTGCGCCGTGATTACAGCTCTCTTCAGCTTCTTATACACCGAAAGAGCTATAAACTTGCGGCAATGTTTCTGCCGTCGTCACACAAACAAGTCGTCAAAAATTCATTTCATGTTCTTAAGAAGAAGCGAAAAAATAAATGTCCCGAGATAATATTTTACCTGAATCGCAATTGCTGCACTTGTTCGCCGTCTAAAGTAAAGCTCGTTGCGAGCGCTGATCCCACGGATAACGGATTGGATCAGGACAGCGGACGAGTAGAGTTCTAGGTAGGATTTTCTCGCAACGTACATCCGAGAATGTCTCTGCATCGTGACACAAGCAGCCTCCCTTCGCAGGCCCTCGTACGTGTGTCTGGAAAGTTCTCCTGGATTCGAGAAAGAACATGAACTCAAAATAAGACATTCGGGCTAAAATTATCGATCTAAATTCGAGTTATTACCTCGGCAGAGAGACTGAATAGACGTTGCTGCGCAACGTAATAAAGAAAAGCTTTTTCTCGCCATGTAAGAACGGAACTTCCTTTGTACAATGCACGCCGATCTTCCCAACACTTCGGTTCTTCGGGCATCCAAATCAGCCATCTGACCAGCCCTCAGAAACACTTTTGTTTTACCAATCTGCAAGAGTATCCGCAATCTGTTTCTCGTCCGTATTTAAATCTCACCGAACCCATTTCGATTTATTATCAAACCACATTACCTGATACCCTTCGAGCCCGACTTTCCGCAAGATCTTCTCGCAACCAGCAACGTCATCCATGCTATCAAAAACCAAAACAAAGTAACAAAAAACCCGAGAGATTTTCGAAAGAAAATTGAAATTTAGAAGAGGGAAAAAGAGATCGAACCTTCCATCTAAAACATCGGGAGCAAGAATGCCAAAGCGATCGACAAACTCGATAAACGGTTTTTTCGTAGGATACCCGGCGCAGCTAATTCGAATCGCCTCCATGACCCCCTGGACAAAAACAGAGACAAATTTAAGTCGGCTGGTATATAAGTCGCGACAAAATAAACGTCTCGAAGAGTTCGTGCTTCGGCATACCCCACACCGAAGCTGTTGGAGGACGTTATGATTCTCGAAGATCGCCGGCTTAAGAAGATTGTTTGGCTTCACGCACCGTATGTAATGAGGTTCAGTCGTGCTCAGAATTTCGAGCAAAGATTGTAGTTGTACCTGTAAAAAAATCGGAATTTCACGTCTCGATGCAAAATATAGAAAGGTTCGAATGCATAAAATGAACAAATCGTAACGTACCTTAAACCTTGACCCGATCGAAGAAAATTTCGACTTGTTCAACGACTCCTCGTTCGATAGAGGAAAAAGACCCGAAACGAAGGAACATCTAGAAGCGCTCAATAACGACTGATGTTCGGCGACAACATAATCCTTATTCTTGTCGAGAAACAACTCGGTTTTGTACGTCACCTTATGCATGAAAAAAGAAAATTCCCAGACGTAAAATTTTTGGAGGAAAAAGAATGATTCGTCTAAAATTACGACTTACATCGCCAGCATAATGCGAAATGGTGAAATCCGAGCGAGCTAGTTTCGGCTTCCGGAAGCGCTTGTGGTCCTTATAAGTCTGGTACAGCTTTTGGGCGAACGTTTCGTAAGTCGAACGAGGAAACATGCTGTAAGAAAAAGGTTTAAGCTAACATAAAAGCAGAAAATGCAACAACAGAGAGCGTAAATTGAATTCTTTCGACACTAAGAAACTTGCCAAGCTTCGTCAAGAAGTGCGATGATGCCACCGGGTTTCTGAGATTTCAGACAGAACATAAGCATGTAATAAGACAACAATATCGTCGAAAATGAACGCTATATTACAGTATAGGCAGAAGGAGAACCTTTTCGATTAAGTCCAAAACGTCTTGATTGTCGATGAACTCGATGTAGCTCCAGTTAATTTGCTCTTTAGTATACTCCTCTTGCTCCATTTTAAAAACGTGCTGCAAGAAATTCACGTTCGTAAAACTAAAACAATCACGTAAGAATCGAAAATTTTTAACTCACCTGGTTAAAGTGCTGCTGAAGCTTCTCGTTCGTTAAGTTTATGCAAAATTGTTCGAAACTGTGAATATATGTAACCGTGCATTACGTCTCTATGTAAAAAACGACAGAAAAAAACTACACGCCTACGGAAAAGACACAGCGTACCAGCGAAGCACCTGTTAATCTTGAAACTCTCGAATCCGTAAATATCGAGAACTCCAATTAAAGATTTCGAATTGGGATCTTGGCCGATCGAATTGTTGATCTTTTCCACTAGCCTGTAGATGATAACGGCATACAACACACAGTATTACTTAAAATTTTGAATATGCAAACCACGAAAAACAAAAACAACCCGGCCAATGTTGATGTAATAAAACTTACCAGTCGAACAACCTTGTGTACGCAATTTTCGCCAATGCGTCTCTGCTGTCCGCAGCTGCCTGTGGATCCAAATCTTTAACGATTTTCTCGCCAGCAGTAATAATTTCTCGCCTGCAGAGCGAGTCCTCTAAGGACTTGGCGTCGCACCTATGGAGACAAGATGTTGTCTGAAAACACACGATGATACCGAAGAGAAAAGGAAGAAAGAATCTTACATGAACAACTCGGCTGCTGCGGTTAAATGAAACCGAGACTGCTCGTCTTTAGGCATGGACGAATCCGTTTCCTTCCCCTTAGTGAATTCGACGTTTCCAAGATGGAGGATTGCAGCGACAACTCGAAATATCGCATCCTGACATGAATGAAACTTGTCAGAATCGGTTGGGAGATTTCGAAATAACAGAAATTTGATACCTGTTCGTCGGAGCTCATTCCTACTGTACCCATTGCATTCCTTGTGGTTAGATACTCTTTAGAATCGTTGATTCCGTCCAGCTTGTGGCAATTCGACTGGTTCAGGTAATGAAATGTTCTCGAATTTCCCAACTTGTATTTCTCGACAACCTTAGAAAGACGAAATCGAATCACATATAACTAAATTGAAAGATTTAAGACAATGCGGATAGAAAAAATCGAGACTACCTCACGGGGCGCGGCACAAAGCATGTAAAAACAATGGTAGTTTCTCTCTGGATCAGACACTTGGCAAACGCGAGATCTTTCGAGGAGGTATGTCCGAATGGCAGCCCCAGATATCCGACCCCTCTGATCAAACTGAAGCTCGACAAACTTTCCAAATCGACTACAAAAAGATTTGCAAGAAGATCAGTTCGATAAGCACCAATCGTTTTAGTAGTCGACGCCTCGGAACATACTTTCTACCTTGAGTTATTATTCCTAACGGTCTTCGCGTTACCGAAAGCTTCGAGAACGGGATTCGACTGCAGAACAGGGAACGAAAAAAACGGGTTCAATTTACGATCGACGACGCTGTTGGCTCGATGGACTGTACGAAAACGCCGTTTTGTTATTACCTCGAGGACTTGCTGTTCTACCGTCCTCCCGCCGTCTTTTTTCGATCTTCCGCCCATGTGAGCGAGATATTGCATTAGCAATTTTGTGCTCTCGGTTTTGCCTGCCCCGCTCTCGCCGCTGACCAAAATCGACTGACTTTTGCCGTCGTTCACCATAAGCCTGCTCCCGAAAATTGGCATATTTAGTACAAACAAAGATGTTAGAGAAAATTGAACGAAAATACGGACCGGTAGGCTGCATCCGCGATGGCGAACGGGTGAGGACTCAGTTCGCCGAAGGCTGCTCCTTTGTATTGCGACATCATATGACTGTCGTAAAGATGGGGCAACCTTTGAAACGGGTTGACGGCAATTAGAATGTTGCCAGTGTATGTCTGAAGGAAACGAGAACAACGTTGTCAATAAGATTTACGACTTTATTTATAGAGCATTTTACACATAAAGTTATTTACGTATATCTCATTGATGTCGTATCTCGATTTCAGATTCTGCAGAACTCCGGGTTCGTGCAAATACGCTAGTTTCGTCATGTCATCCACCCCAGACGGCGGCGCTTCAGCATCTTTCGGATAGACATTAGATACCTTGGCGACAACCTAAGTAAAGACACACAGTTGGGATTCAGACAAACTATCGGATCGAAGTTACTTAGCAACGAAAACTAAATCAGCTGAAGATCACAAGAACAATGACAACCGGAATGTAATAATATCGCGAAAAAATGTATGTGATCGAAGATGAGATTAGGACAGGGGACTCACTGTCTTCCCCGATGTTGTCTGCACCCGGACATCCTCGCCATTGACGGCCACAACCTCCCCGTCGATCCAGGCTTCGTCGAGATCCTCGACCCAGACAACAGAACCTACGACTAATGTCGCCTGATTCACCTGAAAATTACCAACAAATCCTCGGCAAACGAGGCTCGATTCACAAATGTATATCGATCATTATTAACAAATACATACATATATCGATTCGAAGACATTTTTGTTCGAGGTAAGGACAGGAAATTCTTCCATAGGAGCAAAAGTGTGATTGAAAGATAATGAGAGTGCAATAACAGAACACTGTAATGGATGAATCTAATGCACAGATGAGCTTTCGTTTTAAGAACTTGCATTAGGACAATCAAATGACAGAGGAGAACATCTACGGTTCAGATTAAAGCCATTGACAAACCGCAACCATAATAATCCAAAACAATCAAAAGCAAAGGCATCATCAACATCACAGGATTAATTAATACACTTTATTTTTTGAACCTCATAAGTCAGTCGAACGATGAACCATTCTCATTCGCAGCAATAAATGAAGAAATAAGCAATTCAAAAGTTCGAAGAAAAACACCAAATGCTTCTTCACCAGACAACGTCAGACCACAGCAAATTTAATCGAATTAAACAAAAAATAATAATAATAATAATAATAATAAAAAAAAAAAAAACCCTTACCATTTTTGAATCGAATCCGAATTGAGAAACGCCAATGCCGCAGCGATAAGGCACTTTCGGTCATCAAGAACGGAAAGGAAAAGACATTGATCCGACGTTAGCAGATCAAACCGGAGTGCCTGATTTCCCACCGCTTTGTGGAAGTCAAAACGCCGCCATTAAAATGAAGTCATTCTCAGTCAACACGATTTTCCTCCTATTAATAATCCTTCGATGCGAACAAATTCTTTCAATCCTCTCCAAAACAAAACAATATCCTATCCGAAATGATGTCTGCACTTCACCGCCGCACCGAAATCCCAAAAACAATATGGAAAAGTTTGGGAGTAGTCTGAGGATGCAATAAGCCGAAATAACATACGATAAATTGACTGGGAGGGAAAAGGGGAAGGCTATTAATTAATCCTTAAACCCAGTGATTCAAAGGAAAGTCCACCGTTCTCCTCTCCTCCTCCATTACCATTCCCACCCACGTTGTTGGGATTCAATCAGTGTCCGAAAATCAGGCTTAATAATTACAACAAGGTTAAATCAAATCGAAGCCAAATTCCATGAATGCGATTCACCCCTTCACTGCACTGCAAACAATGGTCCAATCCTTCCACATCGCCATGGCGGTTAGGGTTCGGTTTTCAGCTTTATCCACAAAAGTAATTTCCCAATTTGCAAGCAATTTGTTGCTTAAATGTTCAACGCAGTTTTGCATTGGTCTACTCGACTGTATCCATTTCATTCTCTATTTAAAAGTATATAAATATATTTAATAATGATAATAATAATAATAATAATTTGCCGACACACAACTATATATATTTAGTGTTATATAAAGTCATTTTTTTATTTAAAATAGTAATTAAGTATATTTAGAAAATATTAAAAATAAATATATTTTTTATTAAAAAAAATCGTATTTAGCCCCGTGTTACGGGAAGGTAAGTAAAATAAATAAGATGATATACAATAATTACACTTACTTATTTTTTATCATTTTGGAAGCAAATATTGCTTCATTAATAAAATAAAATTAGCATAATTACTACTACTATTTATTTATAATGTGACAATTAATTATAGCATTCCTTCGATATATTTAGGCTAATTCGTCGAATCAAAGGTTTTAATTTTAGTGTTTTTAATCAATATTAATATGATCATAATTTTTAATAAAAATATATTATTTTTTATAAAATATTATATCAAAATATTATTTAAATAAAATTTTAAATTAAATCGCAAACCAAATAAATTCGAAATACCAAATTTTAATATTATTTTTGTCTCACAATTATAGTCATGTTTGATACGAAATTTAAAGAATAATAATATTATATTAATAGTTATTAACAAAATTATGAGTAAAAAATATTTTTGCCATGTGAGTGTATTTATGTAAAAAGTAATGGTATTTCTACAATAATAATGAAAAAATAAGGTAAATTTTATGATGATGCGAATATTTATGAAAATGAGACTATTGTTATTGTTTTGGAACGAAAAAATATAGCAAACAACACTATTATATTAAAACAGATAGAGTACTTATTTTTTTACTCCCTTAATCCACACATAAAGTAAATATTTACTTTTAGCACCAAAATAATAGTATTTTAATTATATTTGATAGTTAAAAGTAATGTAATGACATTTTTATCTTTATTTTTTGGTGTAAAAGTAATGATGTGATGTAAAGTAAGGATATTAACAAAAAAAAAAAATGTGAGGTATTTAATAAAATATTTACTTTGTAATTTGATGTTCCAAAATAGAAATATATATCCTTTCGGAGTGGGCGGATGGAGTTTTTTTTTTTCTTTTTTGTCACACATAATCTCTAGCGTATGGTAGCGCGTGCATTAGGCGCGTGAAGTAAATATATATACTCTATCTGCTGCTGGCTTCTGCCAGGTATCAATAAGCTAAAAAGGAATTTATAAAAAAGGTCCCGAGGAAAAGAACGTGCAGAAACACTCCAGATCCGACGGTGAGCATTGCATCGTCCATCGGCCTTCCAATCTGAGCCGTACATTAAAGATTACATGCACTTTTCCACCACTGACGGGTCAAAGATCACGTGTTGGAAACCCACCTTCTGATTGGGCCCAATAAGAAACAGCACGGCCCAATTCAAAGCCCAAATAATTTCTACTACAGAAAAGAGAAGTAGAAAAATACAAGAGAAAATGGCAGAAATGGAAAGAGGGATAGGTACAGATGAATGCGTAGTATAACTCAAAAAAAAGGTACGACAAATCATCCATATTTTCCGACAGAGAGGTTTCATTTGATGGTGAAAATTGCAGGTAAGTTTCAAAGGTGGAGACATTTTTGGGGTGGGGAGAACTTCTGAAAAGTTAATAGGAAAAAAACAAAAGGGGGTTTTGTATAAGCTGCAGATATATATATATATATAGATATATAGAGAGAGAGAGAGAGAGAGAGAGAGAGAGAGAGAGAGAGCAATATAGTCAGTAGCAGCAGCAAATCGGCAATGGCGAAAGAGAGAAAAGAAAGAAAGAATTGCTTTCACGGTTTTTCACGAGACGTGAGTTTTCTTCTGCTCATTGTTCTTTCACTAACAGTACTGTTTGTTTTGTTTGGGGATTTCATGGTGGAGTGAATTTTTATTATTTTTTCTTTTACAATTGATATGTTTTTTAAGTAAGTTTTTTCAAATTTTACTGTATTTTTCGAATAAAATATTTTATTTTTTTTCACAAAATATTTTATTAAATATTATTTTCATGTCAAATTCAAACTAATTTTTTTTCAAACTCATCAAAATAAACACATTATTAGTACTTTATTTAGTAATTGATACTATCTTCATCCGGATCTAAGGTTTCACTTAATTTTTTGTTTATTATTTTTTAAATATTAATTACTATATCAAAATATAATATAAATTAAATTAAAAAATAAAAAATACTTCTATTAATGTCTTGTAATACTACTAAAAAAATAATTGTACAAAAAATTATACAAATATAATGATATTTTTAACTGTAAATACAATGACACGAAAGATAAATGTATCATTAGGGGCGGACAGAGAGAATATTATATTTAAAATAATGATATTTAACTAGTTAATAATAATGATATAATATTATTTTATTTAATTAATAACATTATTGTTTTAAAATAGATTTAGGATGTGTTTGTTTGAGGGATTGGATTGGATTTATATTATTCATCTAATTTTTTTCCCCAAAAATATCAAATTAAACACTTATTTTTTATTTTTTATATTATACTAAAAATCAATTTTACATTCAAAACATCATGTCAACACCTATTTATATCACATCATATAACTATTCAAATTCAAAATTTTTATTATTCAAATCCCAACTCAAAATCCAAAACCCAAACAAACACACCCTTAGTAAACTTTCCATGTATTTTAAGAAAATTAAAACTTTTTAAAATAAGCAACAAAGATGTTTTTATTTAAAAATAAAGGGTGAAGTATACTAGTGTTTGTTTGGGGAATTGGATTTAGAATACATTATTTATCTAATTTTTTTCCTCAAAAAATATTAAATTAAACACTAATTTTTTTATTTTTTATATTATACTCCCTCAGTCTCAATACAATAGTCATGTTTCTCATTTTTGTCCGTCCCAAAACAATAGTTTTATTTCCATAAATAATTATATCACTATAAAACTACTTACTTTTTTATTATTATTACACAATTGTCATTACTTTTTATACTAATACACTTACAAGAGCAAAAAAAGTATCAATATAATAATATTAATATTCCTTAAATATCCTGTCAAACACAACCAGACTATAGTTCTGGGACAGAGGGAGTACTAAAAATCAATTTTACATTTAAAACATTAAATTAACACCTATTTATATCACATCATACAATTATTCAAATTCAAAATTTTTACTATTCGAATCCCAACTTAAAATCCAAACCCCCAAACAAACACACCTGATTCGATAAATATATTTGATGCTCTTTTTTGAAATTACAAATTGTTGATGTAATTTTTCAACAAAAATAAAGTAAAATTCAAAGATATAGAAAATATCTTTAAACTTGATTAATTAGTGCCTGAGATTAGGAATCTCTAAACACTGTACGGGACAGAAAATAAACTGGAAAATAAAAGACTGAAATTTAAAGTGGTGATCCCCAAATCTGACTTTGCTTTGTTGAAGTTGATTGAAGATACCTTGCCAAATGATGATCCAAATCCTTAAATATTCCCTGGGAAACCGTACTGAAAACCGTCACCCGAACGGTTACAACGTCTCCTTCTCAACCGTCTTCCAACCTTTCTTATGCTGACACGTGTCCCCAGCAGACCAAAATTCCCTATATTTCACTCCTTGAGCCGACCACAGACCTTCCGCTCTTTTGGCCCGACTTCGTCCTTCGTCCGACCTACTTCTTCGCCCGACCCCACTTGGGCCGACCTCCATATCAACCGCCCCCTGTCTTTGATCAAAGGCCTCCGTGTTTGTCCGACTCCTCCTTCTATCCGACCTACAGTTTACCCGACCTGCGGATATCCCATCTCAACGACTTTCCGTCTCGAGGACCTCCCGACTTGAAAACCTTCCGACTCATCGTCTTTCCGTCTTGCGGACCTCCCGACCTGAAAACCTTCCGACTTGAGGTCTTTCCGTCTTGCGGACCTCCCGACCTGAAGACCGTCCGACTTGAGGTCTTTCAGTCTTGCGGATCTCCCGACCTGAAGACCGTCCGACTTGAGGTCTTTCATCTTGAGGGCCTCCCGACCTGAAGACCTTCCGACTTGAGGTCTTTCCGTCTTGCGGACCTCTCGACCTGAAGACCTTCCGTCCTGAATTTTTCTTAGAAATAAATAAATAAATTTATTTTCCTTGATTTCCTCACGGTGTCCTTCAGCCAGTTCAATCAACCCTATTGCCAGGCCCATTCCTCGTTTTACC